TAAAAAGTGATATTTTCGACTTCTTGTTAAAAACCGCAAGTCCAATTGCTTTGATACTACATATATAGGTACTACATGTAGACCTCTCTCAGATTTGTTCATTTTGTGATGATATCTTCAATTCTCTAATTTTGGTGAATATTTTTGTAATTTTTGGTAAAAAGTGATATTTTCGACTTCTTGTTAAAAACCACAAGTCCGATTGCTTTGATATTACATATATAGGTACTACATGTGGACCTCTCTCAGATTTGTTCATTTTGTGATGATGTCTTCAATTCTCTAATTTTCGTGAATATTTTTGTAATTTTTGGTAAAAAGTGATATTTTCGACTTCTTGTTAAAAACCAATAGTTCAATTGCTTTGATAATACATATTTAGATACTACATGTAGACCTTTCTCAGATTTGTTCATTTCGTGATGATATCTTGGATTCTATAATTTTGGTGAATATTTTTGTCATATTTGGTAAAAAGTGATATTTTCGACTTCTTGTTAAAAACCAAAAGTTCAATTGCTTTGATATTACATATATAGATACTACATGTAGACCTTTCTCAGATTTGTTCATTTCGTGATGATATCTTCAATTCTCTAATTTTGGTGAATATTTTTGTCATTTTTGGTAGAAAGTGATATTTTCGACTTCTTGTTAAAAACTGTAAGTCCGATTGCTTTGATACTATACATATTGTTCATTTTCTGATGATGTCTTCAGTTCTTTAATTGAAATGTGCATTTCTAACAGCGGAGCTATCTCAGCCGATAGGCTGCTTGTTTGTATCATTGTCATATGAGAAGTACTCTTGTCCTTATTTAGAGATATTTAAACTAATTCAGGGCCACAAACTACATGTAGATCTGTACATGGGAAGTAAAGTTGTTGACACAGGTAATGTACACCAAGGATCATTGCAGTTTCTCAGTTCCTCATTTGGTGCTAGTACTTGTATGACAAACGGTATCTTTGCCTTGTTACTGACTAAAATATCAGTAGTTTTTCGCTGGAGTAGTTCTGTGATTGACAGTGTTCTTGTATTAGGAATACAGTTGTACAAGAAAGTTTATCCAAACAGACAACACTGACTCTTAAACATATTTGCAGATCTGATTTGCATACTTGCATGTCATTTTACCTGTTGTACTTACTTGTTGCTCTCTGGTGTTCTTGCTGAGACCAGAATGGAGAGTGCTATAAACTTGAAAATGCCATAGGAATCATGTTTGCCAATTTATGTCCATGCCAAAAACTGAACAAATTGTATGTTGCAACTTTCAAATGACAACAAGTGAAGGCAGTGTCATTCATGACCTGTTTGATTGGATACATTTTTACGACTTGGAGGTCATTTTTTCCCTCAAAAATCTAAAAAAAACAAGCTTTTTCTAGCTGTTACCAGCTTTTTCTCAGATATGTGTCATCCAGTTTATTTCAAAGTTGGTACAGGGACTGGTAATAATTGTTTACAAGTGCACATCGCATTATATGTTTAACAAGTTATAAATTGTCTCGGAAAAGCCAAATGAATAAATTTTTACCCCACCCCCCTCAAATTGTAACACATCAATTCTGAACAATTAATAACAGAATTTTAATACAGCTCATAATGAATTAATTCATTCTGACACAAACCCAGTTCAATATAAGTTTTTAAATTTTTTTCTGAGCGGGGGCTATGACATGACATGACATGTCATGTCTTGTTAATAAGGAAACTTGCTAGCGATATTGTCATAGCAGATGATGATTTAGTCAGACATGGTTGTTGACAAAAATGTAAACAAATGACATCCAGGCTATTGACAAACTACTGTAAAACATGCCTTTTTCGTGAGCATGTCTTTTTCGCGAATTTAGCGAGAGAACTGATTTGCTAATTCAAGATGTCGCTAATGACTCTATTATCAATTCAAAATGGCCGCCAAACAAAGAAATCAACAATGACAAGAGAGATTCACTAAATCAACATTTCGCTATTACATCATTTTACCACAATTCGCTAAAATTGTATGTCGCTTTTTCAAAATGTTTGACACTAACCACCATGTTCATTTATCCCACTTTTTCTACTTCAAAACCTAGGTGGTCCAAGAACAAGTTGGCATCATCCAAGAGATAGAACATTTGATTTTGACTTTCGAAATGACAGAGATCGAGACAGAGAACGTCATCATAGTGGTAGAGGGAATAGCTGGGGTGATGATGATGGCTTACCCGAATGGAGTACAGATGATAACATTGATGTTGATAATATTGGCTCGTTTGATTCCTCAGGGGCTTTTCTGTCAGCAAAGGTAACTGCAGTAGATCTTATTTGTAAATGTATATTTCTTGTTAAAAACGAGAGTACCTCACAACTTGTTTTTGCTCTTGAAAAGTGTTCCATTCTCGATGTCTACAAAAGTTGTATGAGTAGAAAATGTTGTTGTTGACTCCGCCATAAAAGTTTTTCTTGTGGTTTCAGTAGATCAAACAGTTTTTATCCAGTTTCTTTTAAACTTTGATAAAATATATACCGTAAAATCTGTATTAGAAGCCGCATCCCTAATAGAAGTCGCATCCATACTATTTGAATAATTGAGAACTAAAAATTCATCATTTCTCATATGTGTAGATGCTCTAATAGAAGCCGCATCCCCTCTGTTGCATTGTACCATTTTAATAGAAGCCGCGGCTTCTAATACAGATTTTACAGTACTATTCAAATTATTCATTAAATTTCACTTACAATTGACTTCCATTTTTGGTTACAATAAAACAAATTTTTTTGGGGACAAATTTAGGACATTTTGGGGACAAATTTTGGGATCTCACCAATTCTTTATGAATTATGTACCTCCAGAATTTACTATGTGGGTGTTGAGCATGGGCACTCAGTTGGAACGAGTACAGTAGTTCAGTGATGTACTTTTTATCTGGATTTTGAGGGCAACTTTAAAATAAAGCCATATCGTATAACAATCTAGGAAATCGGGCGATAACTTATCAAATTCCTAACATGCCTCGGCCATTTCCACCAATCAGATTGCCGGATGCCCATGCTATAATCAACATGTTGATTGGGATGTGAACATTGTTATATGGAACATACATTGGAACACATGAACCTTCGTTCAATTGTTCAGTTTGTAGTGAAAGTCGTGTTGGATTTTATGTCAATTTCGCTCACAGAATCTGCATTGATACAAAAAAATCAATCAATAGTAAAATAAAAATCAATTGACTTTGATTTGATTGCATCCATATCAGAAGCTGGTTAAAGAATGACAAGTGTTTTTGCCTTATGATCTTGAAACCCTGTATAGGCCGCTTTTCATTCTATTATAGTCTATGCGTATATATAATTCTGCCTCCTAGGATTCTACATTGAAATTCTCTTGTATTGTAGAAAGAAGATTCAGAGGATGCAGAAGATGTTCCAGATAGGAATAAAATAAACATGGATAGAATATCAGAGGACTCTGAAAAACAACATGGTAAGAATACAGCATATGTAAAAGTGGGGGAGAATGTAAAACGACAGGCACCTATAGTATGTTTTCATCAGTTCAAATGATTGTAGCAGTTAAATGCTGGATTTCTCCCCTTTCAATTCAGTTTGTCTATTGTTGATTTGATTCAAACTGGGCAATAATGATCATATTATGTTATATCATACTTTTTCCATTCTTGGTCATGTGGTCATTCATTCATTTATTTCCACTCATCTCTTTGTGTGTATGCAGATTGTAAACTGCTATAGTTTTTTCGATTGTCAGCTGTTAATGAAACTTGGATTAGCCAACATATTTTGTAATCTGCTATTGTAAGTCTCGCATGTTTTGGAAACCTTCACTGTTTTTTTGTATAGCATCAGACTTTGCACCAGGGTTTATGACAAGAACACAAAATGCAACTACTTGCTAAGTCTTTCAATTTTTGCAGTAAGGGTAGTCACACAAGACAGGTGGTCGTTATACACAGGCTGCTCATACATTATGCTTAGGGTCTGCCTAAAAGTGGTCACTATAGACAGTTGGTATTTATATACAGGTGGTCACTGTCACAGGTTTGACTGTATTTATGATGGTACATTGTTACAGTAATGGTTAACATCAGTGTGCATTTTGTTATATTTCAAAAGTTGTCTAGGTATTTTGGGGGGGGGGGAATCAACTTTGGTTCATTCGAGTAGATTGCATTCACATTGTGCATCTAGCACAGACCTATGTTATCACAGGTTTCTTGTTTAGTGGGCAAGTCATGGATTTTTAATATTACATGTCTCTATTCCATGCCTTCCGTACCCCTCTTCCCTTCATCACATCAGATTTTATTTCTGAGCTTTCTTTGTTTTATAATTGTAGATGAGAAGATAAAGAATGAGAAAGGTAATGGTCCAACAGAGAAAAGTAAAATTAAGGACAATGATACTCGCACTGCCAATGCTAATAAACTAGTGAAAATAGACACTAAACAGACAAATGAAATGAAGGAAAGTAAACAAAATGAAAATGAAAGCCAAGCAAAATCACAATCAGTTGTGAAAGAAAGGCATAAGGAGAATGTTGTAACCATACAGGAAGTTGAAGAGAAAAAAACTGAACAAATTGTGGAAAGTGTAAATGAGACAGAGTCTTCCACTGTGCATAACAATAGGACTGCCAATACTGCTGTATTACCAATTAAACCTGATGCTAGGACAATAACACCAGTAGTTGCCAACCCAACTAGTACAGAAGATGATGATGGACTTGATGAATTTGAAAAAGCAGCTGAGCACCTCATGGCGTCTTTGTCAGCCGAGGTAGGGATTGGTTTTCTAATAAACCCTAAACCTACAAGTTGTAAGCTATTGCCATGGTCATAAAATTCATAGCAACATTGTTCTCATGACATTGAAATTCTGGTAATTGGTATAGTTTGCACATCAACAACTATAAAAATCTGACTCAATATGCTATCAATGGCATTTGGAAATCTATAAAATGTTAGTGCATTAATTTTACACTCATGGTGAGCTATTTAATTCTGTTTTTTTTTATATGATCACATTTTTATTACAGTCACAAAATATGTTTTGTTTATCATACATTGTCACCAGGTAATTAATAATTTGACAACGTAAAATGTAGCTATTTTGAGCTAGTCATTTTGGAGGTAGACGTATTTCTTTCTTGAAAAAAAACACGAAAATTGTGTGCTCAACACTGCGTCAAATAGAAGGTATTAAAATAGAATATTTCCTTGACTAGCCACTTTGTAAAATCCTGTAAAAATCGTGTATTGTTTCACAATTTTTAAGACCAGTGAAAGTAACCTTATGACCTTGGAATAAACTACACCTCCAATGTTACTGGATGCTTGCGAAGAAACGAAATATTGATTTAACTTAAATGATTTTATGTCAATAGCTGGGACTTTACAGTCATAATCACAAGAGCGAAACTGAGATTTTAGAAGTACATTAAAATGTGTGTATCAACCACAAGTGTGATCATAAATGACGTTTAAGATGCAGGCTTAAGTTCCAAAAGCTTTAAAAAATCAGAATAAAGATTGTAACCCTCATGTCATATGACCCCTTGACCCGTTTTTCAAAACTAACTGCTCGAGGGTGTTTGGGTTATATTTTATCTTCAGTTTTCTCTTGTGTATGCTAGTTGATATAAACTCTTAAATACAGTACTGCCTCTTACACAGGCAGGCAGTCAGTCCCAGCTGAACTCAGTGTGGTACAGAATGTGCCTCACTTTTAACGTGTAATGCCTGTTAATTAAATCGCAGCTTAAATATGAGCTGGGTTCATTTCTTCTTCCAATATCATCACATGCATTATTCATGAATAATTGTTAAAACTTAGGATGATGACAAACATGTTGCAGAAGTAGTTAAAGATATTGGTAATAATCGAGAATCTCCAGTGACAGCTGAACCTTTGAAATATGAAAACGGACAAAAATGGTTTTACAAAGATCCTCAAGGTCAAACACAAGGTAAGTTACAGATTGTGTGCAACAAGAAAATTATACTAAAACAGTTTCTGATTCCAAGACGACAAGTTTAAGTCAACTGTCATTGATAGATTCACCTGACGTACATCAGTAACTTGACATCTACTTTGATTACTCCTCCACTTTAAAGGCACATTCATTTCTCAGATTAATTATGGACAAATTGTGCTAGAATTTTTTCACATCAAAGTAAAAAATTGCGTCAATCATCGGCAATGCGTAAAAATAAGTGTTATATTTTGTTGCCACGTTAAATGTATCTAACACATTATTGAGGACACTGACGTTCTCGCTTGCTCATGCATAAACAGTGTAGGCACAAAGTGAATACGTTTTCGTCAGATGAGATAGTGATTTTATTTTTATTGCACAAAACTGTCAAAATTTTTGTTTTCTTGGTGTATATATTTCATTGCTTTTTCACGTTGTGATGATAAAAACCATTTTCACGCATCGATTTGAACGATTTTTCATTGATGTATACTTTTAACACTACGATCACCATAACATTGCCAGCTGACAGCTTTGCAATGGGTAATCACTTCTGCTTTTGCGATCATTGCTATCTGACTCACTAGTGTCAAAATGCACAGAATCATAAATGGAGCATATATGGTAATAACTAACTACAGCCTGGAAATTAATGTATTCTAGTGTTGTAGATTTCTCCTAAGTTGGGTGATCATTAATTTTTATTGCAGGTCCATTTACAGCTAGTGAGATGGCTGAATGGTTTAGTGCAGGATATTTTACAATGAGTCTTTTAGTCAAGCGTGGCTGTGATAAAATATTTCAGCCACTTGGTGAAGTTATTAAACTGTGGGGAAGAGTGCCTTTCACACCTGGTCCTATGGTGCCACCACAAATGGTAATTAAAATAAAGTGTGCTTTATCTAGGATTGTATTGACGCTTACAATGCCAACTTTTGCTTTTAATAAATCAAAATAGGGTAATTTATCTTTATTTTCTTAGTTTTACCAAGACTCCTAGCTAATAAATAAACTTGATCCTTTTGGTTCAAAGTCAAAAAAAAGGAATTATGGGAAAATGCAAAATGGTGCAGCATAATTTTTAGATATAAAATATGATGCTGAAAAAGTACACCTTAAAATACTAATGTTAGATAGCTACTCTCTAATTTGAAATGGTGATGCTTAAAAAGTTAGCCTTCTTGAAATAAAATGTTTGTCAATTTAAGAAAGTTACTGTAGATTAATCGTATTAACCTGTGTGTATATTCCTTATAACCTCCATGTGATAACACTGCTTGACTTATCAAAACTATCAGGGTTTTTTTGGGGGTGTAATTGTATGATGCATCACGCTACACTGATGAAAACGAAATTTTATATTTCATTTCTTTTTTTGTCATATGTACTTCATTAAAGTTAACCTTTGTAATATTTAAGACAATATGAATTGTTTTTCAGGGTAATACAACACCTGTCAAGGAAAATATCCCAGGTGATGAACAACTGAAACAACGTATTCTTCAGCAGCAGATTTTACAGCAGCAATTACTGCAGCAACAGTTACTACAACAACAGCAACAAGCCCAAGCCCAAGCTTATCTGAGACACCAGCTTCAGCAACAGCAGCAGCAGCAGTTACAACAAGAAGCAATTCAGCAACTACTTAGGCAGCAGCAGCAACAACAGCAACAAGTCCAATTTAATCAACCTTCAGTCTCTTCGCAAGATAGGTGAATAAATTAGTCAGTTCAAGTTGTCCTTTGTTGCTAATTATAATGGACAAATATATACTTGGGTTAAAACAGTTAAAATTGACTCTGTAAATACCATCGCAAAGTAATATTTGAATGCAGAACTGGTCTGTATCGATAGTCTCACCAAGAATTTACCTATCCAGTATAGTGTTGTCTCCAAATAAAAGCGAGAACAGTGGTCCATTGCACTATTGAGAATTTATTACAAGATTGATAACTTACTATTGTAGTAATTCTTATCTGTTCACTGTATTGACTTTAACAGGTCGCCAACAGGTGAGACTATTGCTCAGTCTGTGGTTACACAAACATCAACGCAGTCTCAGAACATCCAACCTAGTCACTCGCCAGTTCCAAGTCCTAGATCTCCTATGCTGCCTTCACCAAGGCCTCCCCCTACAAGTAAAGCATCATCTAGTTCTGAAACATCTATTTGGGGTACACCATCAGATAGTTGGACTGGAGTCTGGGAATTAGAATCACCAGAGAAAGAAAAAAAAGAGCTAGAAAGGTTAGGTAGACAGCGAAAGGATGAGGAAAGAAGAAAATTGGAAGAAAAACTAATGCAAGAAGAATTAGAAAAACAGAGGCTTTTAGAATTGCAGGTAATTCTAAACACTTTTGACTTACCTCTTTACCAGGTTAGGAAAAGAATGACTACCGATAGGCATGTTGGTTGTGCTGGATCCATGCTTATTACTTGTGGCTGAACACCTGAAACGATTGTCCTCAATCATGGGTGAGTGTGTCACAGACTCACTGGGAAGCCAAAGCCACTAGCCAAGATTCAGATGCGAGTGTCTACAGTTCATGATTGACACCAGTATATCGCATTTTGCTATTATATCATTATGATTAGCATATGGTCACACAGTTCTGTGACATTGAGTATGGTTTCTATAGTTGAATGCACTACATGCTTTGTCAGCACTTGCAGTTATTTGCACGCATCATACTGTAAAATGGGTTTATATTTCACTGAGTTAGTGCATTTTCCAGTCAGCGAAATAAGCAAAATTAAAACCCAGTGAATAATTAACCCTTCTACAGTAGTCAGGAGAAACGACAGTGATGTTTAGTTAGGGATGCAAGAGTTCTTCTTCAGGATAGCGAGCCCACCTCAACTGATCTAATCTTTAAGTTTTATTGTCAACCTCTTATGAAACATTTACTATTTCTAGTGTCAAGTGTTCATTAATTATTGTTACCACAAGAAAGGATGGAACTGTAATATTGCAGTATAAGGCACTGTTTTGCTAACAAAATAGCTACATTACAAAAAGTGTTGGCACAAGAAGCAATGGCTACAGTGAGCTATATAGCTTGTATCATTAGCAAAAAAGTGTCTCTAACTGCAATATTCCATTCTATTTCATGGTCACAGTAACATGTTCAACAAAACAAAAAAACAGCATTGGTACTTGCCAGCTGACTGCAAGGTGGTGTGAGGCTCGGTTTGTGTTGCGATAAAAGTTGAAAGCAAATAAACATGCCTTGGTACTAGACTGTTATAATTACATGAAAGTTGGCCAATCAAGACTATTTGAAGGCAATGAGAAACTGAGAAGTAACTCAGTATCACTGAATCTGTCATAATTAGCTTTGAAGCTGACACTCTGTTTTCAATTGGAAAATAAATAAAAACTCAGACTGAAATGGATAGTTCATGTTCATGGCGGCTATGTTGTTTTACTGTTGACATGTGATATGCAAATTACCATCTTAGCAAGCTAAAAAAGGGAGCAGTAAAATAAAGAATTGGGGTGGTCCATTCAGTTTTAATGATTTACTACAAACATGGATTGTATATAATTGTAATCAATTCACAATATATAATGATATATTTTTAGCTCTGCTGTCGACTTTGTTGAGCGAAGCCTATCATACGAGTGATTGTCTGTCGTTGTCTGTGTCCAATGTTTTACTTTATCAACTACAAGCCTGAATGCTTCTCTCAGATTTGTTCATTTTGTGATATCTTCAATTTCTTGTTAAAAACTGCAAGTCTGATTGCTTTGATACTACATATATAAGTACTACATGTGGACCTCTCTCAGATTTATACATTTTGTGATGATATCTTCAATTCTCCAATTTTGATGAATATTTTTGTCACTTTTGGTAAAAAGTGATATTTTCGACTTGTTAAAAACGCAAGTCTGATTGCTTTAATATTGCATATATAGGTACGACATGTGGACCTCTCAGATTTGTTCATTTCGTGATGATATCTTTAATTATCTAATTTTGATGAATATTTTTGTCATTTTTGGTAAAAAGTGATATTTTACGAATTGTTGTTGAAAACAGCACATTTTTAATTTTCTAATGATATCTTCAGTTCTTTAGTTGTAATGTGCATTGCTAACAGTGGAGCTATCTCAGCCGACAGGCTGCTTGTTGACAATATATACCATTTTAAATAACTATTGGATGTCTCTATACAGTAAATCATGTTCTTTTGAAAAATATATCTGTACATTATGTTAATAGTATGCAAATTAATATGCAAATCAGTATTATTTTGGTGATGGTGTAATAGTCAATGTTTCCTTTGATAGCGACAAGAGGTTCAGAGAAAGCAAGAGGAATTGATGAGGAAACAGAAAGAAGAAGATGAGAGGATCCGAAAACAACAAGAGGAAGACAGACGAAAACGAGAAGAGGAGTTGCGACAGAGAGAAGAACTACGCAGAAAGCAAGATGAATTAAGAAGACAACAAGAGTTGCGTGATCAAGAAATCCAAAGACAGCAGGAATTGCAGAGACAAAAGGAATTACAAAGGCAGCAAGAATTACAGAGACAAGAGTTACAAAGACAACAGGAACTACAAAGACAACAAGAGATGCAAAGAGAATTACAAAGACAGAAAGAACTTCAAAGGTACATCTTCAATTTATTGAAAACATCTCATCTTTTAACATTAATTTTACAAGGGGAACAAAATGGAAATAACATTTACTCAACAGTTCCACATTTAAATTTGTATTATCTGTTAAATTTATTTGAAGTCTTCTAAAATATGTTGAAAAGAATAGGATAAGAAAAATGAATGTTCATGAAACAAATCCTTGACTAGCAGTACTTCATTGAGTAACGGGCTGCAAAAAAGATGTCTGTTGCGTGCATGTGATTTTGTGACTTGGTAGCTAAAACACTTAGGTACTCGAATTTTTAGTGTCTTTGGCAGAACCAAGAAGGTAGTGACAGAAAATGCACATGTTTTGATCTTATCTTCAGGGTGTTTCATTCTCCGCAGGTTTATATTCTGCCTTCCTAAGCTTCTTAGAAGTCTTGTCATTATGAAGATGCCCTGAGAAAGACATTAAAGGGCAAAATTCATTGTACCAGCACTGAATTTTACACAGGCTTACATTGCTATGGACCCATAGTATTAAACCACCCTTTAGGATTTAAAAACAATTATGTTTATTGTGACATTAAAATTAATAACAAACTATTTTCATCATTTTGTATTTTATTCAGACAACAAGAAATTCAGAGGCAGCAACATCAACAAGAAGCATTAAGAAGGTTACAACAGCAACAACAGCAGCAGCTGCAACAAATAAAGGTGATTTATAATTATTACTTTTCTTTACACATGTATTCTATATTAATTCAAAAACTTTGATTTTTCTGAGACTGTATATGACATATACAGTAGATATTGTGTAGCGCGTACGTCCTTGCCTATGTTCATCACATAGCTCATTGTGTTGGATTATGTTCAATAATTTAATCCTATAGTGTGATAAACTACAGAAGGACAGAAATATAGAAAGTCAAAAATAAACATAGACATACAACCCCCCAAAAAAGTCATTGGCATATTCAAAACATTTTTTAAAAGATAGTGAAGTGAACATGGGTGGGTTCAAAAGGGGCAGATTGAAGAACTACATAATGCAGCTGAGAAAAGTGGATTACCAATTGAGAAAAAAATCAAGAGAAAAAGATGTGGTGTGTGTGTGCGTGCGTGCGTTTGTTTCGCTGATTAAATATGATTGCGTCATTGTTTTTTTAACTCCCAAAATATCCTAAAAACTATGGAAGTATTAGACTATAGCCAAAGATAATTTGCATGTTCGTTTTTTTTTCTTAGGCAGAACAGTGGGCAAATTTTCTTATACAAGTTACCGTAAAAACTCCAAAATTTCGACCCCTCTAAAAATTCGTTTGCCTAGTTATTTGCCGGGTTTCGGTATTCTGTTTACCTCCAAATTTTCGGCTCAACTGAAAATTTCCGACTCATTCTTATTCGAAAATTGCGACCAGTTTTGATTTTCCCCCAAACGAAAAAAAAAAAACGATGTGAGTGTCCAAATGGGACTTTCCCTGAAGGCATGAATCCGGGTTTCTGATTGACTGAGAGATTTTTATTTTATTGTTAACGAAAGTATATTCAAAACGAAGTTTCAAATGAAAACGAACACAACACACATTTTCTACATGGAAGCAAATGATCATGGTTGCAAAATCCGGTCATGCTGCATTTCTGAATTTTTTATTATTACTCAGTAGTGATTATAATAATGTACACAAAATAAATTTGTTGAATTGTTATGAAATGCAAATAAAAGTCAACTTAGTTGTAAGCGAATGATTCAGGTCTAATATAAACGTTCGATGCTGTAGGATATCTGTCATGTTCTCTTAGGACAAATAGGTCAAATCGCTAATTAACCAATCAAAAAGCCGTATGATGCAACGTGTTCAAATTACCATAGCTTATTAGTCCCCGTTCAGACGAAGTCCAAAAACGGGGACTTATAATTCAGTCTCCGTCCGTCCGGAGTCATATCTCAGAATCTCTTGGACTGATTCCGTTCATTCTTTGCATGTGCCTAGTACTTTATGTGGGACATATGCGCATGCTGTGGTTTAGCGATTCGATTCAAAATGGCCGACTTGCAGCCATCTTATTTTTGAAAATGTTGTATTTTGGACATGCTTTGTCAGTTTTCATTCAAATTTAGTACATAGATCATACATGTTAGGGTACATGTCCCTGACTGCTTTTACCGTGAAACATGGGAAAGTTTACGTCAATTGACGGACATTGCATTTTTTTAAAACTAACGAAGCACACTGTCTATCATCCCCATTTTTTTCATTTGCTGATTTCTATTCTGAAAAATTCGACCATCCGAAAATGCACCTTAATTTTGACTCTAAAAACATGTCACATTTCCAACACTAATTATTTAAAACTGGTAGAGTTTTTATGGTAGTTGAAAGATGATGGCCCCCCTTTAGGTGATTTTTTTACGCTGTGAGTTGGAAGCACGGACAAGCGGTGTACTGCGATTGTGCGTTAGGAACATTAAAAATCTGTCCTACATTCCGATTTGTTGACGTTATGTCGCGCATTATGCGCAAGTGTACAAACTATATGCTAAATGATGTTTGTGTTTTTGATCTGTAGCTGCCAAGCAGTTCAATGTGGGCTCAGAGTAGTAACTCTAACTCAAGTTCAAGTGGACAACTCTCATTACTTCAGATACAACAAATGCAGGAACAAGAGCAAAGAGCCAGAGAAGAGGTAACATTCTTACATTGTATAAATACTAATAAAACATTTCATGATTTCTCCAGAAATTTTGTCGAAAGCCAAATTACTATGGGTTATGAGACTTAATTTGTTCACCTTAATGTTTTAGCGACAGCGACAGTTACAAGCACAATTACAACAAGTCAATCATCAACAACAGCAACAACAACAACAAAGGCCTGCTGGTTGGGCTTCACAAAATTCAAGGTGAGTAATATCGTTTCAATGCAAATTTTATTGTTTTTAATTCATATATACATGTACATAGAAAATACCATGTTTGCTTCATTAGTAGCACAAGTGCTTATGTAAATGAGTGTCGATAGTCAAAATACAATGAAATTTATGGTTTATGTGAAGCACACATTTATTGAATGCTAAATCATGAATTACCTCTGTCATTGACATAACTGCAAGCTTTGATATGGTATATAGATTTTGAAGATTATGGTAATGACTGTCAAACTGGGAAAAGATTTTCAATCCGAATAAAAATAAAGACACCATGTGTATGCAGTTTGAGCCAAAATAGAAAGAAAAGAAATTATGTTCTTGAATACAATAACTGCATGCTGTAATTTTTTTTTTGATATTTCAGTACTACGAATATGCAATCACAACCTAGATCATTGCTAGAGATACAAGAAGAGCAGGCTCGACAGCTGATGCAAAAGCAGCAGCAGCAGCAGCAACAACAGCAGCAGCAGCAGCAGCAACAACAACAACAGCAACAACAGCAGCAGCAGCAGCAGCAGCAGCAACAGCAGCAGCAACAACAACAGCAGCAACAACAACAAAGACCTGCTAGGGTAAATTAAACTAAATTGTAGTAGTGTTTATACAATGAATGTCTTTAACCCATGATTACACTGTGAAATCCCAGTGATTGACAACTTGTCCTTTAAGTATTAAGTGCAATTCCATCTATCTATATGTTGGGACATAGTTGGTGGGTGATTGATAGTGATAGCCATATTCTGACCAATCGTGTGTTAGCATCTCATCTATGATCACTATTGAGCTACATTTTGCTGTTGTCGACTGATAATATTAATATGCTTTCTAAACTTTAATATGATGCCTCAGGTGAAATGTACTGTGAGAAAGAGTCGATAGTCTTATTGTATCATTTGTCACGTCAAAAACTAAAATGTATTTAGAACAGAAAACTGTTTAGACCAGTGCATTATTATCAGGCTAGTATTCTTCAAGAGAAAGGTTTTGATTAAACGTAATTAAATGCAGCAGACTATCAAATGATGTAAAGTAAGCAAATAACACCGACAACGGCAAGGTAAATACCACGTCAAATTATAGTAAACACGTACTACGTGCATGACTCGAACTGGCACTCGCTTATGGCACCTAATAGCCTAGCTTCACGTCACTACACGTCTTCCCCTCAGCCACCGGGCATCCCCAAAAAAGGATGCTTAATAACCAAGCTTATTATGTGCAGAGAACATGAAACACAATCTGCGCCACACAGCGTGGCCAGAATGCGGCAAAGGCCTTCAGATCTGACTGTATTAGAATGGTGAAAGTAATAGTATAGCATTATAACAGTGAACAAGTACTGAGAAATAATTGTTATGCAACTATGAGTTTTTTTAGCTCCGCTGTCGACTTTGTCGAGCGGAGCTTATCATATGAGTGATTGTCCGTCGTCGTCCGTGTCAATGTTTTACTTTTTCGACTTCTTCTTGAAAACTACAAGTCTGATGCTTTGATACTTGGTGTATATGT